CACGAAGTCAGCGCTTTTGTGCATATCCAAGGTACACTTTCGTGATTTCTGCCCTGGCATTCGCCTCTTGGCCCAAACCCTAAACACAAAAACCTACAATCCCTGAACCCTAATTCCGAAACCCTGATTAAACCCCAAAACCGGGTCTAGGGCTAAATAGCTTCGATTCCTTGTGAGACCCTAAACCCTAAACCCTGAACCCTAAACCCTGAGGTTGTTTTCCGATCACCCGGCCGCGGGCTGCTCACGGGCTACTCGCCGCTCGTGGTGATCTTGGCCCCTCAGACGCAGACCCCCTCCAGGACCCTAAACCATCCCAAGCCCTAAACCCTAAACATAGCCAGAAGCCCCAACTAAACGCTTTGCCCTAAACCCTAAACCCTAAACCAAAAACCCTAAACCCTAAACCCTAACAACTGCCGGCAGAAGCCCTAAACCTTTTGCCTTTGCTTTTCTTTCGGGGTCTTGGCGTCCTTGATCAACAACCTCAGCCGCAAGAGCACACCAAGCCCAGAACGTCAAAGCCTCCGGGTTTAGGGTTTAGGGTGTAGGGTGTAGGGTTTAGGGTTTAGGGTTTAGGGACAATATGGAGGGAATGGAGGTTTTCCTGGGAGAATCAAGAAAACGGACAAAATGACATAAACAAAAAGCAACAACTCCACCCAGTTCAAATCTAGCTCAACACTGCAAGAGCGCTCACGAGAAGGAGACAGAGAGAGAGAGAGGGAGAGAGAGAGAGAGAGAGAGAGAAAGATAGAGAGAGAGAGAGAGAGTAAGAGAGAGAGAGAGAGAGAGAATCCAAAACACAACCCAAATTCCCCAAACCCCAGGCCCGGAACCCTAACCCTAACCGCCCCCCAAACCCCCCCCCCCCCCAACCCCCCCCCCCCCCCAACCCCCCCCCCCCCCAACCCCCCCCCCCCCTTGCAGCGCTAAGGTCATTTACGACAGCGTTTTCGGCTCCGTGCCCGGCCTAGACACTGGAAAACTGAAGGATTTCGAGTGGTCAGGGGTTTAAGGTTTAGCGTTTAGGGGTTAGGGATTGAGTTTGGGTTGGGGTTTGGGCCTAGGGTCTAGGTCTAGGTAATGGTCTGCAGGCTTATAGGGTTTAGGGATGTTTGGGGTGTAAGTAGGCTTTCAGGGCGTTTTGTTGCGAAGTTTCGGGCTCATTCAGTCCAAGGCCTGCAATCAAAGGGTTTAACCCTGCTTATAGTACCCTAAACCGCCTAAACCGCCTAAACCCTAAACCCTAAACCCTAAACCCTAAACCCTAAACCCTAAACCCTAAACCGGGCATATAGGGGTTATGATGCAACGGCATGTGGACCGCAATGCCGAAGCCCTGCTTGAATATTCGCAAGGGCTCTTCGATCTAGGATCAAGTTTAGGGTTGAAGGGTTTGGGGTTTAGGGTTCAGGGTTTAGGGTTTAGGGTATAGGGTTCAGGGTGACGTTCCGAAATGTCGCTGGTGTGTGCAGCGGTTTTGTGCTTTCTGCGCAGCTGCGAGACACATCGTGGTCTAGGAAGCTTTCCCGCTACCAGAATCTGTGCACGATGTCCACATGCCAGACATGTTGGTGGTTGAACTCTTCCCTAAACCTTAGGCCCTAGACCCTAAACCCTACTTGAACCTTCCTAAACAACCCTTAATCCCAAATCCTAGTCGACATCAAGACTCCCTTGAGACCAACACAACTTCTCGCAGCCCTTGCCATTTCGAGGCCCTCGCCTCCGTCCCGAAGGGGGGAAACCTGGCGAAAGTCATCGGCGCCAGCGGATCCGTGTTGCGGCCGCCCCAGGGATGTAGGGTCTCGGGCATATCAAGGGACTAAAGGAGGGACCCTAAGAAGGAACCTCAGGAGTTATTCATGGGTTTTTAGGGGCTACTTATAGTTATTTAAGAACTATATAAGGTTTTTATAGGGGTTTTATAGGAATAAGATTAAGGGTCCTTTTAGGGGTCCCTCCTTATACCTCTACCCAAGGTGTAGACTGCTCCTAACCCTAAGGGTCCACGTACCTTGTTGCTTTTTCTGTTTGGCCTTTACAAAGCTCCTAATATAGAAGCTTCAGTGCCATGTTGGTACTTGAGTGAGGGTAACGCTACGCAAACCCTAAGCGACAAACCCTAAACCCTACCTTGACAGAACCCCAGAACCATCTGCTTCTGTTACTCGTCCCGCTTTTCCCGAGAGAGATCGTCCGTTTTTGTTTTGGGCTTTGCGGTTCTAGGTTGCCGGGGCGTTGGGTTCACTTCGCTCTCAAAGCCTCACAACGCACGTTTATTGCAGCTTTGGCCCCACAAGAAGGTGACCAAACACAGTTTTTGGGCCACGCAAGTCCTTGTATAAGTAGAGCCCACTAGACCGCGCCATATAGACCGTGATTCGGAATGAAACCCAAAACCTAAGCCCGAAACCCCAAAACCCTACTCGCTCCTGGCCGGCCGCGGGATGCCAACCCCTAAGTGCTCGACACAAGGAACTTAGCTCAAGTTGCCAGAATAAGGAAACCCCTAACCCTAAACCCTAAACCCTAAACCCTAAACCCTAAACCCTAAACCCTAAACCTAAACCCCGGTATTGGGTCTATAAGATTAGGGCCGAGCTTGTGGCTGCTTGCGCCAGCTTTCCTTGCCAGACCTCTGCCATGCTCTCTGTTTGGAGCATCTCCGGGCACAGGGCGGCCGCGATACCCGTGGCTATATCCCCCTTTGGGAATATTTTTGTTTTATACGTTTGTTTACATAAAACACCCAAGAGGACATTTTTAAAGGAATTGCTTTTTTTAAATGTTTGTTTATATATAACCCAAGAGAGGATGTTTAAACAAAATGTATTCTTTATGAAGGTTCTAAAATAAGGGGAGTATAGGTAGGGGAGCTGAGCGACGTCGCGGCCCTGAAGCGCCAACTTCGCCAGAATCTGGGTTGAGCTTCAAGGATCATTTAACGATTTCCCTTCCTTCCTTATAAAGGGAACCTATTCATAAATAGCTTTCAAAAGGTTTAAAGCACTTCTTTCCTCATGACTTTTAAGGGAACCTATTCTTAAATAATCTTCAAAAGGTTTATAAAGCACAGCTCAGGAATCTGGGGGTGCCAGTGAACTTTCAGGAGCTCCTCCATGATGGCCGGAGACTCCCTGATGATGAAGAGATAGCTGAGCCTTGGTAGCCCAGTGGTACCCTTTACCTTTCTTTGTTTTTGCTCTGGGTTCCCTTATATAATGTAGCCAACCATTATAACCAAAAAAAGGGTGCCCTTATTATGATATTGTTACTGGGCTACCAAGGAGCCCATGGATCTGCAGTTGGTCGTATCCTCGACGTTCTGCAGCGCCGAGCTTGCATCGGAGTGCTCCGAGGCCGTCAAGAACGGCGAGGTTGAGATCGTGGATTGGCTGCTGGGAAGGCTGGGCGCGGGTGAGGTGAAATCCTTGCTGAGCTCGATACAGGACCAGTCAAGCCTCATTCTCGCCTCTACCCAGGGGCGCGTCGACCTGGTGCGATTGCTGCTGCAATTTGGGGTGGCCAAAGATTTGCCGGACCTCCAGGGCAACACTGCTCTGGTTCATGCATCTGCCTCTGGTCACGCTGGCGTGGTGCGCTTGCTGCTGGAAGTCCGCGCAGAAACGGACTCCACACACATGACACACAAGTCTGGCAAGACCGCTCTCATTCATGCATCTGCCGAAGGTCATGTCAAGGTGACTCGCTTGCTGCTGGAAGCTGGCGCGGCCAAAGACTTGAGGGATTTTCAGGGCCAGGCGGCCCTTACTCACGCATGTATTCGCGGCCATGCTCAGGTGGTGCAGCTGCTGTTGCAAGCCACTGCGGCCACAGACTTGACCGACAAGTTCGGCAGAACAGCTCTATGTTATGCATCAGCGGAGGGCCACGCCGGGGTTACGCGCTTGCTGCTGGCAGCTGGTGCTGCCAAAAACGTGAAGGACATGAAGGGCCAGGCAGCCATTCTTCATGCGTCTCTTCGTGGCCATGCTGAAGTGGTGCAGCTGCTGTGTGAAGCCCGCGCCAAAACGGACTTGAGAGACGAGTCTGGCAAGACAGCTCTCATTCATGCATTTCTCGAGGGTCACGTCGGGATTGTGCGGTTGCTGTTGGAAGCTGGTGCGGCCACAGATGTCAGAGACAAGTCTGGCAAGACAGCTCTCATGCATGCGTCGGTGATGGACGTCGTTGAGGTGGCGCGCTTGTTGCTGAATGTCGGTTGTGCCGAAGACCTGCAAGACCGCCAGGGCAACACGGCCCCTTGGACCCAGAGTAGGCCCTTGTTCCTCTTCTTTAGAGTATAGGGTTCCCGTAATGCACCCTTCACACAGCGCACCCTTTATTCCTAGGTTACTCTTGGGTCTACTACTAATTGCTTAAGAACCCCGGAAAAATAAAAGTATCATTCCTGATTAAGGGCAATATATATATATATATATATAGGGATGACTTTTTTTTTTATTCTTTTGGGGCTCTTAACAGTAGTCTAGGCCCTCATCCACGCCTCCATCTACGGCCACGCCGAAGTGGTGGATCTTCTGCTGCAGGTCGGCGCGTCCATGGACTTGCTGGGCGCGAATGAAAGAACAGCTCCTGGCTGGGCTTTGGAGTACTATACTTTATAATACTTTTTTTGGTTTTGGGGTTCCCATTATAGCTACTTCTACCTAAAAAGTATATATTTTTTTTTCTGGGTCTACTCCAGAGGTAGGTCCTACGTAGGCCCTGAGGACATTTTTTTTTCAGATTTTCTCTTCGTGGGGTTCAAGGGAATCAGACTAGCTTGGGGCATCTTGGGGCATGCTTTCCTATGTTTTGCCTCTCAGTGGGGTTTCTTTATGGGGATCAGATGCAGGAATGGTTGCGTTAACCTAAACCCTAAACCCTAAACCCTAAACCCTAAACCCTAAACCCTAAACCCTAAACCCTAAACCCTAAACCCTAAACCGCTTGAAGGGTGGCCATCCTAGGCCCTGGTTCATGCATCTGTCATGGGACATGAGAGCGTGGTCCGCTTACTGTGTGAAGCCGGCGCGGAAACGGACTTCGCGGACGACTTGGGCAAGACTGCTCTGCACCATGCCTCTGCCCAGGGACACTCGGCAGGCCCTTTGGGAACATTCTGTGGGTTCCCTTGTGGGGTGTTGGAGGGTCATATTTGGGAATAACCCTAAACCCTAAACCCTAAACCCTAAACCCTATTTAAACCCCATTCAGGCAAAAACACAGAGGGCTTCATAAGGGCCATCATCCTAGGCCACATCGAGATTGCATGCTTGCTGTTGCAAGCTGGGGTGACCTTGGACTTGATGGACTGCCAGGGCAAGACGGCCCTGATGCACGCATCTGAGTCTTGGCAGCCCAGTGGTACCCTTTTCTTTTTTTTTGTGGTCCAGGGTTCCCTTTGCAAAGTAACCAGCCCAAAAAAGGGCGCCCTTATTATTATATGTTTCCTGGGCTAGCAAGGAGTGCGGATATGCTGAAATTGCGCATCTGCTGTTGGAATGCGGGGCGGGGAAAGACTTGCTGGACGCGGACGGGGGCACTGCTCTGATTCGCGCATCCAGCCTTGGGCGCCAAGAGGTGGTGCACGTGCTGCTCCAAGCCGGTGCAGACGCGGACTGCACGGACAAACTCGGCAAGACCGCTCTGGTTCATGCATTTGAGAATCGCCACGAGGAGGTGGTGCAGCTGCTGCTGTATGGCGGCGCGGACTTTAAGGACTTGCTTGGCGCGAGTCACAGCAGCAGCAGCACTAGCTCATGCAAGCGCAACTGCAAGTGGACAGTTTAAACTGATGTGCTTGCCGCTGGAAGACACGGCCACGGCGAAGCCGGCCCGGCCAAGTCTTGTCGACACAACGATGGAAGGTCAGCCTTTGTCGCGCATGTGTCTTTCTCAGTGCAACCCTAAACCCTTGGGTTTAGGGTTTAGGGTTTAGGGTTTAGGGTTTAGGGTTTAGGGTTTAGGGTTTGGGATGTGGGATTTGGGATTCATATCGATTTCATAGGGCTTCGGGGAATTTGGGGCTTTGCAGGCTTCACTAGGTGTTTCAAAGCGTTCTTGAGCCGACAGGTGGGACGGAGCTTATGCATGCGGCCCATATATCTTGGTAGACCCGTGGGTACTATTTAACCCTTCTTTTCCTGGTTCTTAGTAGGGAATAAGGGAATGAGGGCCCTACATAATCCCTTCAACTGGGTTCCCTTATAAAGTAACCAACCCAGGGTGCCTTGACTATACTCAGATGGTTGTCAGGCTACCGACCCAGAGTCGGCTCTTGTTCCCTGTTTTTCGGGTTTAGGGTTCCCTTGCGAGCCCCTTTTCAGCCGCAAACGCCACCGGTTTTTAGGCCTAGGTTACTCTTAACCCTTAAAGGCCCTTTGAAAACCCTTGAAGCCCCTAAAACCCTTAAACGCCCTGAAGCCCTTTGAAATTCAACCCCAAAGCTTGGCATTTGAGCAGCTTGCAGTTGGGCATGTGCTACTTTGAAGGAGCTTGGTGGATGAAATGTGTCCTGTAGTGTCAGACAAGGGCTTAGGGTTTGGGGTTGAGAGGGTCTATAGGGTTATAGGGTTATAGGGTTAAAGGGCTCTGAACGCACGACACAGGTTGGGGTCTGAGGTTTAGGGCCATGGGTTCAGGATTTGATGGACAGGGGCCCCAAGACGCCGAGCCCCGAACGCCCTTCACAAGCCTCCTGCTACCGAAGCCTCAAACCCTAAACCCTAAACCCTAAACTCTAAACCCGAGGCTTGGTAGACCCTGTAAACCGGGGTCCCGAAGCCTTAACCCGCCTACGTCCCAAACCCTCAACTCCCGCTAACCCAAAACCCTAAACCCTAAACCCCAATACCTCAACACCCCAAAACCCCTAAGCCCCTAAGCCCCTAAATCCTACTAAACCTCCGAACCCCCAAGGCCCCTGAGCCCTACGTAGCCCTTCTACACCCCAAACCCTACCCTAAACCTAAACCCTAAACCCGAAACCCTAAACACTAAACCCCTAAACCCTAACCCCCCCTGAAAACCGTAAACCCCAACCCCTCAGTAAGGTGCAGCACACTTGTGGCAGTTTGCCTCTTCGACTTCAGGCCCGGCCTTTATTCGCCCTAAACCCTAAACCCCAAACCCTAAACCCTAAACCCTAAACCCTAAACCCTAAACACTAAACCCTAAACCCTAAACCCTAAACCCTAAACCCTAAACCCTAGAGGGTTTTGGGGCTTCAGGGTCTTTGGGGTCTTCAGGGGTTTAGGGTTTTAGGGGCTTTATAGTTTAGGGCGTTTTATAGTTTAGGGTCTAGGGTTGTCGGGCTGAGGGTTCAGGGTCCCTAGACCCTAGCCCAAAGACTTTCCCCAACTTTTTTGGGGCTCTTCGCGTCTGCGGGATTCGGAATTTAGGTTTTCAGGGTTCTAGGGATTTAGGGCTCAAGAGTTTTAGGGTTCGGGCCTGTAGTGTTTGTCGGATTTTAGGATTTCAGGGTCCGGGGCTCAGTTCGCCATGAAGTTCTACGTAGGGTTCTTAGGGAGGGGGTATGCATGGGGGGGTAGAAACCCTAAACCCCAAAGCCTAAAGCCCAAACCCGAAACCCTAAACCCTAAACCCTAAACCCTGAACCCTGAACCCTGAACCCTAAACCCTAAACCCTAAACCCTAAACCCTAAAACCCTAAACCCTAAACCCAGGTACCTAGGGAGCTGTCGGGATGCTTAGGGAGCCTTAGGGACTAGTGGGGAGTGTTAGTTCCGGGATTGAAGGAGGGACACTCATCAGGAACCTTAGGGGTTACTTAATTTAGGGGTTCTGTAGGGTTTAGGGTTTAGGGTTTAGGGTTTCGGGTTTAGGGTTTAGGGGTGATTTGGGGGTTTGTTTAGGGGCTACTGAGGTGTACAGGGACGATACAAGGTATATATGGTCCGGCGTCTATGGTATGGTCAGCTAGGGGGGGGGGGGGGCGACTGTGAGCACACCCTCGGCAAAACCCGTGTGTTGGGAGTGTTGCGCCTTCGGTTGAGGGAGCACGCCCTCGGGAAAACCCATGTGTGTGAGGCGTTTATCCCCCCCCCCCCCTCCAGGTCTACGGTCTCTAAACCCTAAACCCTTTCAAACCCTAAACCCTAAAAACCCTAAACCCTAAACCCTAAAACCAAAACCCTGAACCCTAAACCCTAAAACCAACCCCCAAGCACATGGTCTGGAACCCCCCCCCCCCCCGTCCCGTGGTGTGGCTGGGGTTGGTTTTAGGGTTCGGGTTGTTTATGGTTTAGGGTTTAGGGTTTGAAAGGGTTTTGGGTTAACCCCCCCCCCCCCCCCCTGGTGTGGTTGTGGTTGGGGGTTGGTTTTAGGGTTTGGGGCTTAGTGTTGGTTTAGGGTTCAGGGTTCAGGGTTCAGGGTTTAGAGCTTAGGGTTTGAAAGGGTCTAGGGTTTAGGGTTAACCCCGCCCCCCCCCCCCCCCCCTGTGGTGGGGGGGGGGGGGGAGCGGCCGGGGAGCACTGGACCATATATATAGGGGTTATATAGGGAAATAAGATTAAAAGTCCCTTCTAGGCCCTAAATCCTATTCCCAAATAGGGGTGCGGGTTGAGGCAAAGCCGGGTCATAAGTAAGCTGACGTTGCGTAGCTAAGAGCCCTCCTTACGACTGCTCATCAAGTAAGCCCAAGATAGCTGAAACGAATCCTCCTACCTAAAAATCAAACGGCAAGCACGAAAGAAACCCTTATATCTGCTGCTAAACCCTACTCAACAACCCTCATATCTTTTTCCGTAGCGTTTAGAATTCAGTAATAACGCTTTTACAGCCCATCGATCCCTAAACCCCCTAGAATTGCAGGCTCTTCAGGGAGTGGTGGGGAGTATAAAGGTAACCTTGGGTTACAGACCCCATTTGAATCCCCCACCCCCCCCCCTCCCTTAAGAACCCGAAAAAGAGAAGCCCTAAACCCTAAACCCGAAACCCTAAACCCTAAACCCTAAACCCTAAACCCTAAACCCTAAACCCTAAACCCTAAACCCTAAACCCTAAACCCTAAACCCTAAACCCTATCAAGAGAAGCCAGGCCTGAGCGGGCATGGGTGGTGTCTGCATCCCTGGCGGCATGCTCACTCTGCCAGGAACCTGGAGAAGCCCACAAGCAGGGTTCAGAGTTTAGGGTTTAGGGTTTAGGGTTTCGGGTTTAGGGTTTAGGGTTTAGGGTTTAGGGACTTTTGGCTTCGGAAGAATTACCTAGTCTCTAATAGTGCTCCCTTATGGTACCTTTGTAAATACACTATAGTGACCCCCCTAAACCCTATTCTAATTATTCAGGCCCCTATGGCAGGGTCTAGGGCCTGAACGCGCTAAGGGCTGAGTTAGGCTAGGACCAGGAGCAGGCCCTTATCCCCCTTTTTCAGGGTTTTATAAGCCCCTTGCAGACCAAAAGAGCACTCTTTACCCTAAACCCTAAACCCTAAACCCTAAACCCTAAACCCTAAACCCTAAACCCTAAACCCTAAACCCTAAACCCTAAACCCTAAACCCTAAACCCTAAACCCTAAACCCTAAACCCTAAACCCTAAACCCTAAACCCTAGCAGGCTTAGGGTCCAGGGCTCATGGGGCAGAACCCCCAGCAGCCGCAAACTGTGCACCTAACATGGGGGTTCAAGCTTCGTGGCTCCAACCCCTAGCCCCTAAACCCGAAGCCCTAAACCCAAAGCCCTAGACCCTACAAATCTTTACGGTTAGGGATCGGGCTTATGAGGCTTCTAGGGACTTTGTCAGAAGGTGTTGGAGATAAGATCCCCTTCGGTTAAACCCTAAACCCTAAGCCCTAGACCCTAAACTAAGCCCTAAACCCTAAACCGAAGCCCTAAATCCTAAACCCTATTCCAAGGTGTCTGTAGGAGGGGCGCTTCAGGATCGTTTTGGGCCAGAAATATCCCTTAGGGTTCAGGGTTCAGGGTTTAGACTCCAGACGTATCTCTTCTCCGGCATGCGCGGACTGCGTCTTGAAAGGAGCTTCAGGTGATGTGGGATTTGGGGTTTAGGGTTTAGGGTTTAGGGTTTCGCCAAAGGTACTACCCTGCATTGCATTGTAGTTTCGATTTTTTGAGCTTGGCCCCTGGCTGCCAGGCTGCTTGGGCCGGCTGCGCAGAAAGTCCAAGGGCTCTCCGAGGTGAGCGAGGAGCACTCTTGGAAATCGAAATGCTGCGGCTCTGTCCACACGGTGACACCAAGAAACGGCATTCCAAACCTGATCCCAAAGAATCCATGTACCTATATGGTATATACTTGGGCCTTAAAGGGGTTCCTATGTAGTAGCTTTAGGGCCCAAGAATATACTATATAGGTACATGGATCCTTTGGGGATACTTGGAGTTCTGAGGCCGACTTGTCAATTGGCTCCTGGGTCTGCAACGCTGCCGTTCCAAAGGTTGCATTTGCACAGCTTTCGGCATCTTCAACCAGGATGGGCTATTATTACCTAGAACACCCTTAAAGGCCCTTATAGGGTTCATTATGGGGATTCTAAGGCCCAATAGCCCATCCTGGAAGGGCAGCCCCCCTCAGATCGGCAACTTCAAGTGACATGTGCAGCATGGGGGCCATGTGAAGTCGCAGCATGGCGGCTCAGAGAAGTGACCACCGAGACTGGTTAGGGTTTAGGGTTTAGGGTTTAGGGTTTAGGGTTTAGGGTTTAGGGTTTAGGGTTTAGGGTTTAGGGTTTAGGGTTTAGGTTTAGGGTTTAGGGTTTAGGGTTTAGGGTTTAGGGTTTAGGGTGAGCTGGAAGCAGCTGTGGCTGGGGCTGTG